AATCAATGATGGAGATGAGTGAGAGGTGTTTGCTTAGGCTCACAAGGATGTCAAGTCTGTCAAAGTGCCAAGAGAAGCATCCCCAAGCTGGGTAAATACTATTTATAGACACACCCAAAGGAATAGAGCCGTTAGAGCCAAGGAGGGATGCTCTGCGTACTGACCGAACGTGCCGGTTGGGATGACCGAACATGTCAGGTGCATTGTTGCAATAGCCTGTGATGCAAGTTGCAGTAGTGTCTGATTGAAGTTGCAGTAGCATCTGGTCATTGTTGCATCAGCGTCCGGTGTGATCCTGAGAGGTTCCAGAGAGGTATTTTGGTGACTGGACGCGTCCGGTCACTACTGACCGGACTCACCCAGCGTTAGGTCATCCAACCGCGTGTGTTGCCTATATGTGAACAGTTGCACAGGCAGGTCCATTCACATGTTGCACTAGTGTCCGGTCAATGTTTCAATAGCATCGGACGCATGTTGCACTAGCGTCCGATCTAAGTTGCTGCGTCCGGCCATGCTTGAAATCCTCCTTTTCAACTCAAACTTTACCACCCTTGCTTTCATGTGCTAACCACCAAGTGTATCACCAATGTGCATGTGTGTTAGCATTTTCACAAAGCATTTTTAAGGGTTAATTGTTAGTACACTAGGTTCCTAAGTACATATGCAAGAATCATATCACCTAGTGGCACTCGACAAACCGTTTAGCCAAAGATTTCTCCTCTTTATAGTACGGCTATCGATCCTAAATACACTCACACCCTCTATGGCGTCTTGAGTGGCAAAACAAAAACCTATTTGATACCTTTGCCTTGATGATCTTGGTTTTTGTTTTTCTCTTTCTTCTTTTCAAGTTGGAGCTTGATCATCATCAACACATGTCCATCTCCGTCTCCATGGACTTCATCACCATGCTCCATCACTTGGTATGTACCAACCTTGCTCACATGACACTCATGACAAAGGTTAGTACTTAGGTTTTATCAATTAGCCAAAACCAAACTAGAGCTTTCACATGGGCACACTGCCGCCTCTAACAAAACGTCATTATTAATCACCATTTGTAGAGATGATCAGAATTCCCATCTCTATAAATTGATTGATTAACGAAAAAATCATAAAATTATATTCTTCCCAAGACTCGATCTCAAAACTTGCAACACAACACTTATACTATTTTACCACTACACCAGTAAATCACTTGTTAATATACTTAGGATTCTATCTTTATGTACAAACATTTTATAATATGGTATTGAGTATTTTGACTCAAGTAAAAAAAAGCTTCAACTACAAAGTGTTAAATCTTGTCGAGCAGTACAACTTTGGTATAGGATGTGTGTCCAAGCCAGATTGTTTGAAAAATTAAAAAAAATGAATATCAAAATACGTGAATTAAAATTAAATATTTAAGACACTAAATAACTTCAAACAAAAAACTTATCAATAGAAAAAAGATGTAGATCAGATCGGCCACTACAACTTTGGTTTTAGCAATGTGAACATTCAAGGTTGTTTAGGAATTCTAAATTTTTGAAATCTATAAACTCACGATACATATTTGGGACTCTAAACGACTTCAAATAAAAAACTTTTCAACTATAAAGTTGTAGATTGTATTAAGAACTACAACTTTGGTATAGACCATGTCAATATCAACGATTGTTTGAAAATTTTAAATTTTAAGTTTTAAAATCCACGAAATTAAAATAATATTACAGGACTCTAAACAGTTTCAAATAAAAAAATCAACTATATATCAAGTTGTAGATCGTGTCGAGAGCTATAATTTTAATATAAATTTTATCTTCTTTCGAGTTCATCTATAAAATTTTTGAACTATTTTTGTATGCATCTATTTATAGAGACAAACAACATCTAAGGTGACCACCTTAGATGTTGACAGGATGCTAGGAACGTCCGCCTGTAGTAATAGTGATTTTTAGAGGCGGACACATTAAGATACTCGTCTATGTAATTCTATTTTCGGAGACGGAATATTTTTTTATAACTTTAGTTAAACTTAAAATTAGTTGACCGCTTAAAATGCGAGATGCGTATTTATTTTAGAACAAGAAAGGTACGCTACTTCTGCATCATGTATAGCAGTTAGAAAAAGAAACATCATGTATAGCACTTATTGTATTTTAGAATGACAAATGCTTATCACTTATGCTGGGCCGTGGGCCCCAATCAGCACATCAGCTAGCCAAATCCCGGCCCGTTGGACCCGGTCGGCCCCGATCCGCACATCAGCTGCCATGCCTTCACCCCGAGTCCTCTCCACCAGCACTTCCCTATGACAAGGATGTGGCCGTGGCCGAGGTGGCGGCCAACGAGGCAAACTGAGGGCCACTTCTCACACCAGACACGGGACAGGGGACACCAAGATTCATCTTCACTCAGTAATTGAAACCCTGAAGTTGAACTCCTCGCTGGCCTGGACCGTGACCAGTCATCAATATTTTAAAATTACACTTTTCTTTTGCATCATGTATAGCAGTTTGAAAAGAAAAAGAAGAGAAACAGTTAGGGCATGCAGTATGCTTGGAACTTTTCATGCACAGAAACATGGCACCGTGCCCTTCAATGGCCTCACAAGTCACATCAGACAAGGACAGAAGCCGGCAATAATGGACGACCTTTCACTATTATTAACTAGTATAATGCCCGTGCTAACGCCACGACTTTATCTTGGGATCTACAAGAAAACAACCGTTTTTTTTCCATAGTTCAACTTTTATACAATTGTATTTGAGCATGTTTACAATCCGAGACACACTTTTGCATAAGAAGGCATAGTAAAGTTATTTCTCATATTAACCATCTAAGTTACATTTTGCCTAAGTCCTTAATCATGACTTGGAGATCTTTAGGGAAGCTGTCAAAATGCACGGGCGATCGGAATGTTTCAACGTCGAACGGCGCGGCGGCGGCCCGGAAGGTTTTGAAATATGACAAATTTAAAAGCTATGGAAAGTGAGAAACTCAGTCCAAATTATTCTCATGAACCAAATCCACTGTCCAAACATGAAAGTCAAATGAAGAGATTTTATTTTTTTAGCAAGAACAAACTAGGAATATTACACAGTGGTTATACTAAACCAGAAAAAAATAGGAATTTTGCTGAAATGCCAAAACCAAAAAAGATCAGCAGCCTCACATACAATTCAAACAAGAGATGTACAATACTCAGACTCCTACAAAGGGATGGCTGTAGATCCAAAAGTTAAAAATTTCTAAACTTGCATGGATCTTGTTAGGCTGGAGAGAAGTTATCCCAGTTGCCACAAAAAACACACATTGAAGTAACACCCTTAGTGAGGAATAGAGAAAACACATGATACAAAATCTGTTGCATTCTCAATGGTTTACTCAAAAGCTACCACAAAACTAAAAACCCTAACTCAATTAATATAGCATGCAAGGGCAAATTCTTCAAATTGAGTAGCTTTTCAAGCTGCAGATGATGCCAAAAGAACAAAACACCATTTTTTCTATCACCAAAAAAGCAATGTATTTAGAACACAGAGATGTATTAGCATGGTCATGGTCCCTTTAATTGCTCTGATCATCATAATTAGGTATGGACTCAAAACTTCTGTAACAATAGCCATATACCAAACTCGAAATGCACTATTTCCAAAAGCAATGGCATGAATTCCCCATGTCCACCAGAAAATTGAATATAACCGCATTTCATTTCTAAATGGCAGCATAAACATAACCACATTTCATTTCTAAGTAAAACCCGACACATAACCATATCATGATGCAAACTGAAGAGTGGCAGCATATCCAAGCGTAAACTCGAGTATTTCAAAATCCCTGGCTTGTACTCAAATAAAAGGGCCGTACCCAGTGTAGAGAGCTCCCGCTCTGTGCGGGGTCTGGGGAAGGGTGTTAGTGGCAAGCCCTACCCTCGCCTGTGCAATGCGAGGAGACCGCGACTCGAACCCGGGACCTTCCGGTCACAGGCGGTAAGACTCTACCACTTGCACCAGGCCCGCCCTTCTGGCTTGTACTCAAATGTGCAGATAAAATCATAAGACAATACTCCGTTGTTTGGGACATACTCAGTTTTCTAATTTGAACACACAACACAATAAACAGAAAAAAATATTTGCCACCAGTATAAAAATTCTTCCTCTAGATGAGTGGAGCATCCAAATTCTGATATGATCCCCACAAGTTATACCAGATCATTTTTTCACTGCAAAGTACCCATTGCGCTAAGAACACACACACACATTGAGATGTCCATCAAGCACCCTCCTGCAAAATGTCGAAGTGCATTCCCTGAATCACCAATGGTCCAGAGAACAGAATCACCCCTGTTGCGCAATTCGCCTGAATTCCAACACCAACCACTACCCCCACAGATCACATTCGCCTACTCTGATTTGGGACGCGTTTTTTTTTTATTCGGTGATGATCAGCTTCGAGCATTAAATCGCAGTTGCAGCGGGTCGCGGCGTGCGAGGAGGGCATGGGGTGAGAAGCCTGGCATCCCACATCTAATTGTGGTCATCGAATTTGGTTTAGGTGTTTATTAGCCCTTGATTTAAATGCAAATGAATTACTGTGTGTATTTTGGTCATCGAATTGTGGTCATCGAATTTGGTTGGAGGCTCTCAGCGGAGGACTTTTTTCTAGGGGACCTAGTACAATTTTGATTGATCCATTATAGTAGAGATATGTAATAGCGAAGATTACTCAATCATGCATTTGGTACCATATGGCCTAATATTGTTGAAATAGCTAAGATGGATTAGTAAATAAAATCATAAACCATCCTTTTAAAAAGAGAACCCTTATCTAGTAAAGTAATGCTGCCAAGTGTGTATATGAATCCCCATGGTTGCAAGTCCGCTATAACATGAAGGAACTGCCCCCAAAATTCAGTGGCCCACAATTGACGCATTTTGTTATTTTGTAGCAAGAACCTATTATGAAAAAGTGACAAACTGTATTTTCCAATGTCAGATATGGTATCCATGATCCTACCACAAATCTAAAGATATGAAAGCAATTTGTTGTTGTTGTTGTTGTTGTTGTTGAAAGCAATTTGTTGAATGAAGCATTGGAATAATAGGAAAGGTAAACCTGCTGGTCATATACTCTGAATAAAGTGTCAGGCTGTGGGCATCCTCCTTGTCTTCCTCTTCTTCCTCAAAATCATCCTGAAGTGCACTTCTTCTCGGTTCTAGAGTTTCAGCATATGGGCTTTGCACCTTAGAGCTGAGAAAGCACGTATGAGTGCACCTGAGAAAGAGCCCATCTGTTCAAACAATCCAGAAAATGCCATACATGAAACAAAATTGATTTTTTCGAGATTTTTTAAATATGAGCATGCCAATGTAAAATGCCAAAAGCAAATAATTTTCAAGAGCATGCCGTTGACCCACTGACATTTGAGTATGCCATTATGACAATGTAATCTGGACAGATGGTGGCAGGAACGGAGGGGCTATACCTGAAGGAGCAATGGCAGGATAGGTCGCCATCGTCCACGGCCGGCCGCCGTCCTGCTCGTACGGCCATATGCCGCGACGGAGGGGCCCGAGGCATGCCGCGACGGAGGGGCCCGAGGCATGCCGCGACGGAGGGGGCCGAGGCATGTCGCGACGGAGGGGCCGAGGATGGATCCCTCGTCGTGCTGCCGTGCGGGGGCTCGGCATGTCGCGACGGATGGCAGGATGGGTGAGTGCAGATAGAGGCCCCAACATGTGACCGACGCAACTGTTCGCACATGCAGCAGCGGCTGAGGAGATGCAGATGGTGACAGCAGAGGAGTTGCGGATCGGTCGAGGCGGTGGGAGTCTGGGGACGCCAATGCGGTGGTGGAAGCGAAGATGAGGCGGGGACAGCAGGGAGGATGGCCCTCTTCTTCGGCAAGGCGGAGATGGAGGACGGCAAGACGCTGGCGGACTACAACCCCTGGCCGACGGCATGGACGCGAGCGCCGTCGTGCGCCAGCAGGTCCCCGCGGCGTCGGCTCTCGCCTGCCTGCCTGCCGCCACCGCGGCCGCCGCCTCCCCGTGCGGGACCAGCGTGTGCTTTGCTTGGTCTGGCGGATCCGGGAGGAGGCGCGGCCGACCGGCGGGATGATCTGGGCAGAGCGGTTGGTTCAAAGCCGGAGAGGGATCCATGGCGTCCTCGACGCATCCATTGACGGCAGCGGCGTGGAGCGTTGGGAGTCGGGCGTGGTGCGTTTCTTTTTTCCTTGTTCGCAGGCTTGATCCCTGAACCCTGATCGTGACATGCGTGGGCGTTTGAAGGGAAGAAACAGCCCGCATGCGTGGGATGGAGGGTGCCGGGTGAGAAGACTGGCATCCCACATCGAATCGTGGCTATCGGATTTGATTTAGGTGTTTTATTAGCCCTTGATTTTAATGGAGATGAATTCCTGTGTGTATTTTTCTGGGTACACAATGGTTGGAAGCTCTCATCGGGGGACGTTTTCTGGGGGGGACCTAGTATAATTTTGATTGGTCCATTATATAGTAGAGATAGTGCAGCGAACGTAGACTTATCCAAGTTACATTACATACTATACAGTTTTTAAAAATAAATAAAAAGGTGAAAAATAATAAACTCCTCTCCTTTGCTAGAATCAATCTTCCAAGCCATGATAGCACCATCAGCACTCACTGAGTACATAATGTGTCTCCCTGCCACGAACTCCAAACCATGAAGTTTAAATAGAATTCAGTCCTAAACCTTGAAAAAGAGGAAAAAGGAACGACAAATTTTCTAGTGCTATATGTTTGCAACCTGTCAGTTGTCAACTAAGACAATTCAAGTTATGGACAAATCATAAAATACAGTAACTTATGGCAGTTGGTAACAAACAGTGTCTTGCGCTTGCAAATGAGTTAAGTATTGAGGGAAAGATAAACATACCATCTGCAGTGAAGGGGCACAAACTCTGTTAACATCCTGAATCACGGCCGAAAAGTAGGTGGGCCAACAATGGGTACTCTTGGAGATGCTCTAAGTTGTATTCACTGGGAATTTAAGAAGAGTTCAATGCACATATATTCATCTTCCATTGCTTGGTTATTTTAAGAAGATAAGACATAGTCTTATTTTAATAAGAACATAGAACAGAGGAGGTGATTGAAGATGAGACTGAGAACCATGACAAAGAAAAGTGAGCCAATAGTAACAAATACAGGTGCAGGTTCAGACTTCCGAAAGAACTGCTCGGTACATCATGTACCTTTTACATCGTTAAAGAATTAAGGCATCGATTTGTCACAAAAAAGGTGCTGATGTTCAACTCTTTTGTTAAAATTTAGAGTGGTGTAATGATGCCAATGTTCACTAGACAGGTTGTATTTTTTATTGAGTTAGCTGAATCACCATGTCAACTGTCAAGTCTGGGAGGCAAAATATTTGTTGTTGATTGACTGCTCCAATCATTCTTTCCAAAATTTTTGTTCTATTGGTTTGCTATCTGCTGCATCTACTCTATAAAGGATCGGATAGGCGATATCCGAATGAACTGAGTCCTTGCCATATCCAAATATGAGAATTCTAAATCCAGTATAGTCCAATTTAAACAGGAGAAAACTGTCACGCAACAATATAGAGAATTATTAGTCAAGAAACGACTATAAAAAGGTGCTCAAATGCATTTGTCATTGACAACAGTCTGAAGTAAAAAAAAAGTGGGTTTTGAAATCCAAACCAAGAAAAGAAAATTGTTTCAAATTTCTTCAGTTTAACTGAAAGAAATAAAAACAGTTAACTACTTACAGGTAACTTGCCCATTATGTTTTTTGCTAGTGCCCTGCAACTTGGAACTTGAATAATTAATAATTATGAAGCGTGATATCTACTACCAAAAAATGCACAAATAAACTGAGAAAGAGAAGAGACCCAAAACCATGAACCAGCCAAAAAAAGGCCCAAGCACGACAGGCTGCAACACATGAATCTCAGGAAGAACTGAGACAAGCCATCAAGGCATTCTAACTGAGACAAGCCATCAAGCCATCTGTGTTAGTTCTCAGGAAACTTGGTAACTGAGACAAGCCATCAAGAAGCTCCAAAAACAACTATATAGGTGAATGCACGTGCGTTGCAACGGGGACATAAAAAACGTTATGAAATTACATATTTGGCTAGGTTAAGCTAATGTAAGCTACTGTAGATAATATGACAATGCAGGTTATAAACCAAAGTTTCTCCTTAATTTAACTATATTTCAAAAATGCTCTGTTAAGTCCTTTAACATTAGTGAATATGTTGTAAAATTTTTACATATTAAGTACTTGAGTTTCTCCTTAATCTAACAGACATGAGTGATCGAGCAAGTGTTTAGTACCCAGCTTCTTGGAACCTAAGTTTCTCTTTCCCATTCCACCTGAATTCTAACTTTGCTTCTCAACTTATGTAAACAAAGGATCACAAGAAAGAATCTTGCCTAGCCTAAACTCAAACAAAGTTTTGAACCAAAAGCAAAGATGATAAATGAACAATGCTCCAATATCTCAACCACTCATGCTATCCCATTCGACAATTTCTTTTTATTTTTTGAAAAGCCATCAGACAAATGTATTCCTGTAATGTTCAACTCCTATGAAAGCTTCTCAGTTTCAGAAAAATCAAATCATGGCCCATTAGGAATTAAATGGACTTATGTACTCCAACTGCATAGAGTACTAACCATACATTTTCTGCACAAATCCAGGCCATTTCAGAGAGTTTTATTCAAAGAGGGGAAACCTAGCATCTAACTGATTCCTTCTAATATACCTGCAAGAACATTTAAATAAAAATTATATATTAGTTGACGCCAAGAATTTTAGTAAGCTGCATCATCAAAAAAATTAATTACACTAAAAGGATAATTATTCATAGGGTGTTTCATGAAAAATCACATCACAGAGAAATATAAGAGAAATTTCTGGAGCATGCTTTCTTACTCAATCAGGGTTGTTCTTCACTTCAATGTGCTGAAATTGTTAGACGCTCAACTGAAACGGTAGTAAGGGAATCATATGTATTGAATTCCTCTGATCCCTGGTCCTACTCCTAGATGAGTTTATTCCTAAGTGCAGATAGAATTAGGGATCAGTCGTAGGTACGGACATGAGCGACGACGACGCGCATTAATAAGATAAAAAATGATTAGAGAGACCGGAGGGTGGATGGATGCACGTACGTGTAGAGCTCGGGTAGGAGGCCGCGGTCACCGCACATGCAGCAGACGGCGCCGCCCGGCTGCAACCTGCTTCCGCCGGCAGCGGCAGCACCTCGCGGGGACGACGCCTTGCCGCTACCCATGGGAGCAATGGGGATCTCAGGAGACGGATGCGCTGCATGCGATCGATCGGCTGCTCTCTAGGGCGTGGCCATCACGTCGCCAACCTCCGCGATGTGCTCGCTCGCGTGGTGGTTGTCGCGGGGATCTCGCGCTCACGGGATCATCCGTTCCTGTGATGAGGGAGTGAGGGCCTTGATCCTAGCGGGATCAGCGGCGGCGCGGGGTTGGGGATTGCGAGCCAGCGCCAGCGGCCGCCGATTGAGGGTGCGGCGGGGCCCAGTAGGGATCCGGGATCTCCTCCACTGAGAAGACACGCTCCATGCTGCTGCAGCCCCGCGCAACCCTAGCCCAGGCGGCCTGGCGGCCGGCCCCCGACGGCCTGTGCCTGGCTCCCTGCGGCCTACGGCTAGGCGGCCGACGTTGGGAGAGGAGTAGTAGCACCGCGTGAGGAGTGGAACGCGCGTTGGGAGAGGAGTCGGGCACATCGCGCGTGGGGGAGAGATTGAGAAGAGTCGTGCGTGGGGCAAACAGGCGTCCATTGGCGGCGGCGGTGTGGAGCGTGGGGAGTCGCGCGTGGGGCACATTTGAAGCCCGCGTGTGTGGGATGTAGGGCGCGGGGTTGAGAAGCCTGGCATCACACATCGAAGATCGGCCGTCGGATGGATTTTGGTGTTTTATTAACCCTTGATTTTAATGGAGACGAATTTTTGTGTGCATTTTTCTGGGTGCACAATGGTTGGAGGCTCTCAGCGGGGAGCGTTTTTCTGGGGGGACCTAGTATAATTTTAATTAGTCGATTATAGTAGAGATATTGAATGTAACACTAGAAGGATTCATACATAGGATTACGACCAACTTGAGGTGCACTGAGAATGGAAGCCAATTTGCTCATCACCGTATTTTATTTTGTTTTCAGCAAACAAATTAAAATAAAAACCAGCCAAACTTGTCTTATTACACAGGTATACAATACCTCACCACCCATGCTAAAGTGACAATAATAACCGAATTATCCTTGAGCTAGCTCGCCCTTAAAATTAAGGTTGCACCTGGCTTACATGCATGTTTATATTTCAGTATTATAACCAACTTGAGGTGCACTGAAAATGGAAGCAAATTTGCTCATCACCACATTACAAATCCTTTTATTTTGTTTTCAGCAAACAAATTAAAATAAAAACCAGCCTAGCTTCTGTGACACAGGTGTACAATACTTTACCACCCATGCTA